CCTTTTTGGGGCATCTCACTCCAATGGAGTCACATATAATTTGGCTCTTTGGCTGTGGTCTTCTCAGCTAGAAAGTTGGGTAAAAGGTAAAATACGTACTCAAACCCACACAAGGTGGAAGGCGCAATCGGCAACCCTCCTTTTCCTCTTATCTCAAAACCGTGCACTACACTAGGTTTGCTAATAAGGGCAGACATTTCCACAAATGCCTCTTTATGCTCCTCTCTGCAAACACATTTAGTTCTTAAGAGATAAGGGTTATAATGGCTTGTGCCTCATTCCCCAGATGTGAAGTAGAGCTATTAATACATCCTAATTCTTCTAACATGTGTGCTGATGTTGTGATGAGAGCATAGTTTTACACACCGCTTCCCCGTGTGGGGGTGGGCGTCTCACCTGAGACACAGGAGCCTTGGGACATTAGGCAAGCTCCCAAGTGGGGCCAGGGAGATGAAGTCATGGTTTTTCCAAGCACTGCAACCCTTCAAGGAGCAGCGCCTGAGTGAGACATACTCCTTGGGCCAGAAACTGGATCCAAATGAGAGGCCCTTTGGCAAATAAAGATTGGAACTGTGGTTAGTGAGGTTCATCCTGGAATCCAGCCTCACCCTGACCTTCCCACCCTCCTCCACACCAGCCAGTGTTCTGTCATCACAGCAAGTTCTCTCAGTGTGACTTACAGGGCCTGGTGTGATGTGTCCCTGCTTGCCTCTTCTCACTCCTCTCTCGTCTCTGGAATTCTAGTATCTCACCATAGTGGCTTCAGTAGAGGCCCTGCATTCTCGCCTCCAGGATTTGTATCTGCCACACACCCTGCCCCAGACCCTCCAACCAGCACACCAAACTGGATTAATCATTTCCTCTAGGTTTGCTCCCAGCCTTTGAGACAGGTTTCCCACAGCAATCTGCTTCTCTCTCTCTCTCTCTCTCTCTCTCTCTCTCTCTCTCTCTCTCTCTCTCTCTCCCTCCCTCCCTCCCTCCCTCTCTCCCTCTCTCTCTCCTAGAGTTTTCTAACCATGTGGAAACTTTATTCTTGTGTTTTCCACCTGGACCCAAAGCTCCCCCTAGCAAATGCATACTCTGCCCCATATCTGACCCCAGATTCTCATTCACAGAAACTGTGAGGTAATTAATGAATCACTGTGTTCGGAGTGGTTTTCTGCAGTAATAGGTAACTAATACACTATTAAAACTAAATGGTTTAAAACAATGACTTACATCTCCTTGATCCCACAGTACCTAACCAGTAAGCTCTTGTTATGGCACAAGCTGAGAACACTTCAGCAACACCTAGCTGATGAGTAGGCTGGAGGGAAGGGTCCAGTGTGACTTCACTCATGTGTGTATGGCATTCTGTGGGTTGGAAAATGGCTTCTAGCCCACAGAAAGACCATAGAATGATTATCCACAGTGTCTATACATGGACTCTCTGGCAAGGCTATTCCATAAGAGACAGCATTATGTGGAAGTGTACTCCCTCCAGAGCTAGTATCCGAAAAGAATCAGAACAATCGACATCATCTTCCATGACCAGGTCTCAGAGCTGATGGAGATCCATTCTGCCACAGACTCTCACTGGAAGCAATTATATAGCAACCAGAATCAGGGAGAAGGATAAAAGGTCTGTTCCCTGATGGGGTTGGTCAAAGAATTTGACACTAGTTTGCCAAAATTAACCTTACTGAAGTATAGTTTACATATAATAAGATACACACACACACCAAAATGACTATAATTATAGCATATACCCTTGTAACAACTATCACAATCAAAATATAAAGAATTGCTTTCATCCCTAGTAATTCGCACCCGTCCCCCTGCTATACTCAATCCCTTCACCCACTGAAAAAAAATGTCCCTCCAAGTCTTTGGCATTAGAATATCTAGTCCTCAGATGATCAGGCTGTTTGGGAGGTTTAGGAGGTGTGGCCTTGTTAAAGGAAGTGTGTCACTGGAGGTGAGATTTACTGTTTCAAGTCTGATCTCTCTGCTTTGTTCTTATGATGTGAGTGCTCAGCTTCCTGCTCTTGCTGCCATGCCTTCATTCCACCATGATGGACTCTAACCCTCTGGAACTGTAAGCCCAAATAAACTTTCTTCTACAAGCTGCCTCAATCATGGTGTTTTATCACAACCACAGAAAAGTAACTAAGACTCCCACCCATCAGTGCTAGGCAGCCACTGGTTGGTTTTCAGGAATTTCTAGACTTTCATATGATACTTTACATCCTACTTGGAGTCTTCACTTAGATAAATGTTTGGGTTGTTCCTGTTATTGCAAGTGCTGATAGCTTGGTTTACTGTTTTCTTTGCTATATGGTATTCTACTATGTGGATGTGTACTGCTTGTTTATATAGTTTCCTGCAGATGAATATTTGACTTGTTTCCAGTTTTAGGTTATTAGAAATTAAGCTGCTAAGAATTCTTATTTTTATTTTGCCCTAAGAAAATATGTAGAGGTGATGTCACTGTTACATACATTTGTCATTATAATAGACTATCATATTGCTTTCCAAAATGGTCATAGTGTGGCACTTGTTGGTAAAGTGGTCATTTAGAGGCTAACTCCACAAGATGAAGTAAAGTGAAAGATTCTTGATAGCTGGGAGGTGGTGGTGCATGCCTTTAATCCAAACACTAGGGAGGCAAAGGCAAGCCTATGAGTTCAAGGCCAGACTGATCTACAGAGAGAGCTCCAGGACCACCAGAGATACACAGAGAAACCTTGAAAAGGAAACAAACAAACAAAATGATTCTTGATAAGAAAAAAAGCGGACTCTATTCCAAATGAAGAATCAGAGTGAGAGCTTCAGAACTCACGGAGATAATATCACCATCTCGCAGAGGAAAGGATGGGCAGCATTCCAAAAACAAGTGAGCTTTGCCCCAAGCTACTCCAGTGTAATAGCTACCTGTTGCAAGTGAGAGGGGAAGATGAAATTCCAGAAAGTATGTCAAAAAGGACAGCCAGGGGCTGGATAGGGGGCTTGTGGCTAAGACCACTGGCTGCTCTTGCAGACAGGACCCTGATTCAACCTCTAGCACCCATGTGGAAGCCAACAACAGTCTGTAATTCCAGTTCCAGGGAATATGATGCCCTCTTCTGGACAATGTGGCACCAGGCATGCACATGGTGCTGGGACATGCAGCCAGAATAAAACATCCGTGCACATAAAAATAAAAATAAATCCTGAGAGAGGACACTCATCGTTCTTAAAATTTTATGTTTTAGATGTATCAAGATGTTCTTGCCAAAACCAGCATACCTTGTTTTTTTCTCCCACACATCTGTTTCCCACCTCAACTTTCAACATGGCAAGTCAAGCAAAATAAACAAGGTCAAATGAGGAAACTGGGCAAATGGTTTTTATCTGGCTTCTCTATTTGACCACCAATTGGCAAACACCATTAGAAAATGAGCAGAGGATAAATGACAGGGTGAAGTACATTTTTGATCATGGGCCCAGCCTCTCCTCATACAAGAAGCAGACCTAAGAGTTACAGGAAATGATGAGGGAATGGAGTTGAAGCACTGGAGAAGAGCAGACTGATTCCAGAAATTAAAGAGGCTCCTTGTTTGAAGCCCTTAAAGTGATAGCTCTTTGTTGACCACATCTGTACTCTACTAAATATGTTTACCACATAAGTATACCTATTGTTGTCAGCTTAAGGAAGAATGGCTAACTAAAACACCATTAACCCCAGCACTCCAGAGGCGGAGAGGCAGGCAGATCTCTGTAAGTGCCAGGCCAACCTGCCCTGCATAGTAAGTTTCAGGTCAGGCAGAGCTGTATCTCAATAATAAATAAAAGACTAATTAAATAAAATACCTTTATTAGATATACACATCTTAGAAAATGTGTAACATTAGTAGAACAAAAGGGAAGTTTCCACTATTTCAAACTAATCTTTGGATGACTTTTGGTTTCTTTTGGTTAGCTTTGGTTTTACCACAGGATCTTCTTAAACTCGTTATCCTCCTGACTCAACCTTTCAGAGTGATAGGATCACAGGTATGTATCCCAACAACTAGCTTGAATGATTTTTTTTAAAAAAAAAAAAAAAAAAACTGATGAGAAAAACCTACTTAACCAACAGCTATGTTTTACTAACTCCCTCAGTTCCCAGCCTTCAGTAGGTCCCTAATATAATAACACAGCATTAGCTTTTTTTAAAACTATAAGCTATGTTTTAATCTATATTTTAAGCCAACTAGGTCACATGGAAGAGAGTAGGAAGCCTAAAGGAGCCTGGCTTCCGACTTCCCAGGCCAAAAAGATAATTACTGGAATGCAAAGAAAAAAAAATAAGAGTCCCCAGTAGAGACTGCCTTCAGGATGAGAGAGACTGACTTGCGCAAGAGGTACTTAAAATGCTATACCTCGGCTCGGCTCATTGGTTTGGTTTGGTTACTGACTTGAAAAGTGCTTTATGGATAGATCTACATTGCGTTATGAAAGCTAAAAAGTAAACTGAAAAGAAGACAGAATCAAAGACTTCAGTACCTCAAGTGACCCCTTGAGCACTTGCTCCAGGCATCCGCCATTCTACCCGGAGTTAAACCTAACCTGACAAAAGCAGGCAGAAAAGCCCCCAGCATCTGCACTGCCTGTTCCCATATCCTGGGAGTTCTTTGGAAATTGTTCCTCTGCTGCCCCCTCGCCCATGCTCTTCTTCATATGGCCACCAGGTGGCGCGCGAACCTCGGCTGGTGCTGAAACTGCGGGTGAGAGTGTGAGTGAGAATACCTGGGAGGAGGGAAGGGATCCTGGAGGGAGATTGGAGAGTGCCTTGGGCTGTTTGAACTTGAGCGAGAACCACCACCTGGCAGCCTGAGATTCGCACCCGAAAGCGGTGGAGAGGATGTCGGCAGAAAGCTGCCAACCTTTCGTGACCTCTGACTTCTTCTATTCTGTTCCAGGGACTCTATAGGAACCCTCCCCCCACTACACCCGACCCCTCTCCTGTTGGTTTGCGGTGACGCGAGATGGGCTTGGGATCGCGCCCACTGGCTTTCCCCTCCGGACGTTGTTCCTGGGCGGTTAGGAACTGTTGAGAGGGGTCCTAGACTCACCCCTCTTTCACCACCCTGAAGACAGGGATACCCGCCTGGTTTGGGCCACCCTAAACTTAAAGGTTTGTGACCTCCAGGTGTCTTCACGCTGCGGATAACTCAGTAGATGCTCAGCCTTCAGATACAGTGATCCCCCTTTATCCAAGTAGGGGCAGTTTCAGGTACCTAAGGGTCTTTGCAGGTGGGAAAGAAAATATTAAATGGCAAATGCCAGAAATAAGCAATTTGTACTTTTGTCACATGTGACAATTGTTCTGTTCCAGTCTTGTTCATCCCTTCTTTGATTAATTTATACTGTTTCCTTTTGGGTGTGTAGGTTGGTGTGGGGAGGGGGGGAGAGGAGGGGCTAAACAGCATCCGTGGTACTATTCTGAGTCTTGGGCACCCCCCCCCCACACTGCTTCACAACCCCTTTGATGTCTTAGAATCTTGACCTCACAGAATAAGAGGACTGCGGCCATGCCTCTCTTTTATGCAACAGTTTATCACTCCACAATTTCCTCAAAGCATTAAGTCTTCTTAATAATTCTGAAAAGAGATACAAAAGGTGTAGAAAGACACGGAGGGTCACACAGGACCAGAAACTGGGCTGAAGTTAAGAAACTTAGTGGAGAAACGGGGATTCACTTGATGTTCCTTCTGGTGTGTTTCCAAGCTGGAGAATGCTGTTGATTAAAGGCTTTATACACCCCCTTGGGATCTTTCTCAATGACTGTGCCTGGTCCAGCACAGCAAGACCATCCCCTGCGTTCACAGGGAATCCATAGATTTTAGTTCCTTTCCCTGAGGCTACAACAGCCTTCAAGAGAGAACACATGATTTCTTCATTTAATGAATGTCTTGGATTTTTATGTCACTGTTCCAGTTTCATTAGGGAAGCAAAGGGTTTATTTCAGCTTACATGGTAGAGGGAAGTCACAGCAGGAACCATGGAGAAAGGCTGCTTACTGGCTCACATAGTTATGCATAGCTAGTTTTTTTGTTGTTGTTATTGTTGTTTTGGGTTTTTGTTGTTGTTGTTGTATAGCCCACAACTACCACAAAGAATGACACCATCCATAGTGGGCTGGGCCCTCCAAATCAATTAACAAGATAACCCTCCACATACCACCAATACAACCTGTAAAATTCTTGAATCAGAATCCAACTCCAGGCTGGATCAAGTTGACAGTTAATTCCAACTAAGACAAGTACCTTGTTTATTTCCTCATCTTTTCTTTACCCTATAATCACCTTCTGATTTGAGGTGAAGTGGCAAGGAGATAGGGAAGAATGCCCTGTCTAAGAAAAAGGGGGGAGGGGGAGGGGGAAGAAGAGAAATAGGAGGAGGGAGAGGAGGAAGAGAAGGGAGGAGGAAGGAGGGGAAAGATTTATTTCTGTGAAGGTGAGTAAGAATTTGCTAAGTCTGGACATTCACCGAAGTACATGATGCTTGCTCACAGATTTCCTTGCATGGAACTCTAAGCCCTGACCCCAGCTTGTGCCCCTTGTATTCACTACCATGAAAGCAGTGCATGTGCATTTCCATTATGATTATGCTTTTATGTTTATGAGAGATTACTTACTCACTTGATATTCTTTGCCTGTGGGGGCATTAAAATCAAGGAACAGGGGGCATTGGGGAAAATGTAGTTCTGCTGACTAGAGAAGTTAGGATAGTGTGTTTCTCTCAGTTTATCAGGAATCCTGAATGAGATCATGCTGAAGTTTAGGATCTAGAAGAATTTTGGAACTGCGGTTCAAAAAAATGTACCAATGACTAAATATTAACAGTAAGGAAAATAAAAGTTTGGGGAAGGGGGTGGGGAGATCTGGGAGCTTGCTTAGCACTGGTGAAGCCCTGAATTTGATTTCCTGCAAAGTAAGAAAGAAAAGACTACACATCACATCAGCCACCATAAGATATGTGATGGCTCAATCATCTAGATTTTATTGGGATCTGAACAAATGGCTTTAATGGTGCTTTTCTAAACTGGATAAACTTTGCATGTTTACAGTATTTGTAATTATGTACATATAGTCTATATGAAAAAGAGGTATGACTTTTTTAAAGCAACTTTTAGATAATATTACCACTTCTAGCAAGATTTAAGTAATTCAGGTTTTTAAAAAATGCTAGAGTGAGCCAGGTGTTGGTGGCACACACCTTTAATCCCAGCACTTGGGAAGCAGAGGCAGGTGCCTCTGTGAGTTCGAGGCTAGCCTGATCTACAGAGCAAGTATCAGGACAGGCTCCAAAGCAATACAGAGAAACCCTGTTGGGGGGGGAATATGCTAGAGTTCATATATAATTCTGTTCATAATGAATTCTAGTGAGACAGAATAAACCTTTTTATGTCAAAAAGTATTTCTAACATAAGTGAACATTTGAACTCCAAAGACATTTGGAGATGGGGAGATAACTCAGATGACTCAATGTGTAAAATATTTGCTATGTGAGCAAAAAGAACCCTACACAGAAAAATGTTGGGTAGGCAGGCATATCTGAGACAAATGCAGATCCCAGAATACACTGGCTAGCTGGCTAGCTAAATTAGCAAGCTATAGGTTCAAGTAGGAGACCCTGCCTCAATATATAAGTCAGAGAGCAACTGAACAAGACACCCATTGTCAAACTCCAGCCTCCATACACGTACATATGCACAAGCTCCCACACAAGTCTACACACATGCAAACATACATGTGCATCAAACATGCATACCCATGCAAACTAGTAATTTTTAAAAATAAACTTAAACAATTTTACTTAACAATTTTAGAGCCTACATGTTGTTAGCAATAAAGGAAGGTCATTGGTAAAGGAAGTAAATACTGTATATTTACAGGCCACTCATTCCCATCAGTGTTTACTGAACATCCAGGATGTAACTGACTCATGGGCCAGCACATATTCTTGAATTCCCAAAGACATGGGCTTGCTGAAGTGTCACTTTTCAACACTAAATGAACTATAGTTATGTGAGTACTATGAATATTTTTAATATGTGTATTGCCTTGCAACCACTGTTACAATGAGTTCTGTGCCTGTTTAATGGCTCTTTTTTTAAACAGGGCTCCTGAAAGGAAATACTCTGGGTTGTCCCTACTGGTACTGCTGCTATTTTTGAGTTGACACAAGTATAGAGCTGCTGGCTGGGCCAGAATTGTCTCCAAAACAGCCTCCCCACCCTGCCCCTTTAATTAAGGAGATTTGAAAGGGTTGCTGGGGGCTGGAGCGGTTAATAGCACTTCCAGAGGTACTGAGTTTAATTCCAAGCAATGGCATGGTGACTCACAACCATCTGTAATGAGATGTAGTGCTCTCTTCTAGCTTGCAGGCATACATGCAGACAGGACACTGTGTACATAATAAATAAATAAACAAATAAAAAAAAGCAAATGTTGCTTGCAAAACTGAATGCCTGGCTGAAAGGGTATGACATGATGAAATGTACATTTCTATAAGGTCATTCTTGTTGACAAATTCTTTCTTGGAAGGGGAGGAGCCTAAGGAGGGGAATCTATAAGATTTAGCTGTGGAAATAGAAGGGAGTAAGTTACAACAACAAAAAAGAAAATCATGTTGCTTCTGCTTATCCATTTCTTTCCTTGAAAATTAAACACTATAACAACTGTCATATTTAACCAATAATCTTTTAATTACATGTTTTCTCTCTCAGTAGACTCTCACTCAGAACTTTTGTCATTGCCAATAATATTAGGTCCATATCTTTCATTTCAATCCATGTTGATGGAGAACTAGCCAAGAAAGTTAAGGACTAGCCAAGAAAGGTGTTAGGACAGAAACAAGACAATGAGAGGAAGTGTGTCTCCAGGTGTCAGCCCCACCCCTGAGACTGTGTTGACAGCATGTACTCTGTGTCTAGAGGTGATTTTACAAAGCCAAAGCATTGTGGGATAGCGGTCAGTTAGAAGATAATCATATGTCTGCTTTTACTACATAAGCTTTATTTTTCAAGGAGAAGCACTTGGGGGAATGTTATTTTGAAACACTTTCTGACAAGGAAAACAACAGTAAGAGAGGAAATTCCAGGCTCAGGAGAGCCTGGAGGCCCAAGTCTTTATGAACCAAGCTGTCCAAACTCCACAAAGACAAGCAAGAGCTCACGAATGCATGAGAGGTGTCTCATCCTGGATACTCATCAGATGTCACTTCCTGGATGCCCATCAGAGAGCGTGGCTCTCGAATAACTCTGGTGAACTTTCAGGTTGCTCCCTGTTTTGTGTAAGGTCCTCTGCAGTGTGCATCTCCCCATAACTCTTGAGTTTCCAACTTGCTTCTTCTTTGTCATACACCTAACAACCAGCTAGCATCCCCTCCACAAAGCAGCACATCTGCAGTTACTGGAAACAGGTTAGATATGCATTTGTCAGGAACTATACTGCAGGAGAAAACAGGTTAGATATGCGTTTGTTAGGAACTATATATACTGCAGGAAGCCTTCCCGGAGATAACATTTACTTTGTGACTAGTCTTCTGCCCTTTGCTGAGGTAGAAACCCTCAAAAGGTCAATGATTATGTTTATGAATATCCTCACTGTTTGCAGAGCATCATCAAATGCAAAAGCACCTTTTGAGGCACTGTTATTAGCAATCCACTTGTCTTGCTAATTTTCTTGAAAGCCTTCAAACAATGACAGACACGGTACTGTTTATGCATGAATCATTCATGCTTTAGTGGCTTGACATTTTCACTCATATTTTATTAAAATCCTTTGTGGTAAATGGCAGTTAAATAACTAATTATGCATTCAGAGAGTTAAAAACGTAACAGCCATGTAACTGAGGTAATTGAACAAGATGAGGCCATGTTTTCTCCAGCACCAGATGGGGAATGCTGGAGGAGACCATAACACTTGATCTTTTCCATATGACTCACAAAGAGAGGTTAGTCTTGACATTTGTTTCAATTTTTAAATAAAATACAGTAGAGTAAGAAAAGAACTGAACAGTAAGTTACTGTTTTAAAATGAAACAATAGCATGCTTTTTGTATAAAGATAAAAATTTATATTCTAAAGTAGAAAATGATATAAAAATTCAACATAGCATTGGAAACAAGGAGAACAGATTTTTCTTAGCTTATAGTTTTCCATGAACTATGTTGCTATAATTTTTGGTGTGGAGCTTATTGAATTGTTGTGATTGTCATATTTAAGAGGGTGAGCATAGTAATATGCACATTTTGTAATATCAACACCCAAGAGGCTGAGGCAGGAGGACTCTCCAGGTTCCAGACAGGCTAAGTCTACAAAGTGAGCCCTTATCTCAAAAAAAAAAAAAAAAAAAAAAAAAAAGAACACTATGTTAATAAATCTTTCTTTTACCTGGATGTATACTTGTCTAAAGAACTCTCAGATAGGAAGAAAGCATGGCTGTAAGTCTGGGTGCATGATCAGAAAGTCTATAGAGAGTAACATGTTTACGTTTTAGAGTGTTTTCCCACTGTGGATCTAGACAACCCATATAGATCAACATAGACTGCCAATTTGATGACCCAAGTCATTGGTGAGCCCTATGGATTGGAATCTGTAGCACACAGACCCCCCCTTTTGCTGTACAGTTGCCTGAAATTTAAAGAAAGATATATCTATAACTGAAGAGAGACATATAGCTTATTATGCTTCTTATATGTGAGACACTATGCAAGTGCTTTACATATTTGATTACCTAGCTCACCACAGCGGTAGAGTAGGAGGGACCCCAAGCAGCAGTGGGGCAGAGCGAGGTAGAGCAAGGGGAGTGTCTGTGGGTCCTCCAGGTGCATAGTAACAGTCTCAGGATTTGTACAGCTCTGGGCTTGGGCAGACTGTCCCAAGTTGATTGGTCACCTGCAGCTGCAGAAAGGTTACTGTACCTACAGGCCGACCCGTGCATTCCACTGTTACCAGTAAAGCACACCCAGAGCCCAACAGCTAACTTCTGATTTGGTTGCCATATGGAGAGTATCCGGTATTTGCTTCCTGTGATTAGGGCAAGGTTAGGCAAGATCAAGGACTCAGCACATTTTGCTAAGTCAGGGGCCTATGTCTTGCTGGGTCTTTCCTGCAGCCTGTTATGGCTGCCAAAGTGGTGGGCTGGATGAGGCCCTAGTCTCTTTAGGGAGAGAAAGAGTGATGCCCAAGAATTAGCACAGGCTCACTGTAAACAGTTCCAACCATGCAAACAAGTCTCATTGTGTTTCTTACCGTAGCAAACTACAGATGCATTAATGACGAGGATGGGCCATTGATCTTAGGAGAGAACTGGAAACTAGATTTAAAAAAATAAAATCTCCTAGGGAAAGCTATATTCTGAAAACTGCACTTCGGCACCTAAGTCAAACCCATGAAGTATCCTGCTTCATTCCAACACTGACCAGTAGTGAGTCTTGCTTTTCCCTTTTAACAAACTTTATCAATAATTTATTTCTTATAAAGTGGGAGCAGGGGCTGTCTCTGATTCTTTCACCTGCTTTTGGGACCCTTTTTCTCCTCCTAGGTTGCCTTGTCCAGCCTTAATCTGAGGGGATGTGCCTAGTCTTATTGTAACTTGTTATTCTATGTTTAGTTAATATCCCTGGGAGGCCTTTCCTTTTCTGAAGGAGGAGCAGAGAAGGGAGGTTGGGGAGAGGCTGGGAGGAGAGGAGAGAGGGGAAACTGTGGTCAGGACCTAATATATGAGAGAAGAATAAATAAAGAAAAACATATTATTAATAATTTAATTATTTCATATAAAGGGAATTTACTGCTTATGAAAACATCATTATAGTTATTTGCATTTGTAAATCTCTTAGGTGTCTAAGAAATATTTCAAAGTGTGCTTCTATTTGTGATTCATATAAACACAGTTCTTTTTTCTTTTTCTTTCTTTTGTGTGTGTGTGTGTGTGTGTGTGTGTGTGTGTGTGTGTGTGTGTTTGAGACAGGGTTTCTCTGTGGTTTTGGAGTCTGTCCTGGAAATAACTAGCTCTGTAGGCCAGGCTGGACTCAAATTCACAGAGATCCACCTGCCTCTGCTTCCCTAGTGCTGGGACAAAAGTGCTACCAATGCCCGGCCTGAACACAATTCTTTCAAGTCCTTGCATATTGATTCTTAAGAACCTTTTTAAAAATATATTTTTTATTCTTTGCTTATAATACATAAAATACATTTTGATCATATTATACTCACAACTTCTCCATGGCGCACCCCTGCCCTCTTACTCCCATCCCCCAACTTCAATATCCTCTTTTTTTCTTATAATCTACTGAGTTCCCTCGTAGCCATTAACTGTCAAGAGTGCCATATCTGGGGTGAGGGGTCATGAATATCTCTACAACCCATGCTAGAATATTGACTAACTCAATCTTTGTAGGCAATCGCATCTGTTGCAGTTCCTTGCAGTGGGCCTGCCATGTCCAGAAGACACTATTTTGTTCCAGTTCCCCAGACCCCTGGCTCTTACAATCTTTCGATCTTTTGTGGGATTTTTTAAATAGACCTTTATTGAGCTGCTGCAACACATAGCGTACATTGCTGAACACTGTGGGGAATAAAGAGGGAAAGGAACTCAGGCCTTTGGTCATTAAGAATGACTTTAATGACATTAAGAACGGCTTTACAGTTCTCCAGCCTTGTGGATGATTATAGATCTGGGGACAAGAAGCAGCCAGGACAGAATAACTCCAGTGGTGGTTTTTGAGAATCAGCACAAGCAGAGGGGCCAAGATGAAGCTGGTTCACTTTTCTTGGGTTTGTTCGCTTTTCAGGTATATTCTTAGTGGCCAAGCACAATTATGGACAGCTCAGCAAAAGGCGGTAAAAGGGAAGTGCAAGACGGACCACCAAAAGACATGAAGCTACCTTTCAGTGAAGCACTTCTAGACTATCAGTAAGTCTGCATTCTGAATTTGAAAATGCCCCCCTGTAGGCACATAGTCATTGTTAAGACAAGTGACTGCCCATGGATACAGCTAAGCACTGCCAAGAAAATTGTGATGGATTAGAGACGTTATACTGTTGTGCTGTGTGCATGGGCCAAGCAGAATCCATTCAATGATACTTCTTGATGATGTTTGACTCCGTCCACTGTCTTGTGTCCTTTTCTATATAGACAACAGTGTGCTGGCTCACCTCTGAAAACACATTGTGGAATAGTGTAAACTGAGAGTGGGAGAGGGCATTTCCCTTCATTTTCCTATTTCTTAGATAGTCCAGCTTATATTATTTCTAAATAACTACATGTCAAATCTAAGCAGTTTAGAGGTGTATGTGTGTGTGTGTGTGTGTGTGTGTGTGTGTGTGTGTGTGTGTGTGTGTAAGCGAGATGACAGCCTTAGCTGTCATTCTCAGTCACTATCTACCTTGTTTGTCCTTGAACTTGAGACTATCTTCCTACTACAGTGACGATCTTTCTGCCTCTGTCTCTTAAGTTCTGGAATTACAGGCATGTGCCATAACTCCTGGCTTAAGAATTATTTTTAATAATGAGAGCATTTCATGATGTCTCACTCCCAGGAGCTGGAGATATTTTATTTCAACAAATAGCCTCTTGAGAGCTTGTGAACATCAAGTTTTGGCACCGGATAGGTGTTCTAATGTGTAATTTTTATGGAATTCATGGAAAAGTGTTAGTAAATTTCCAAATAAGAATGAAATCATTCATGTTTTCACTCAACAAATATTTGTGTGTTTCTCATGTACAATAAGTGCAGCAGTGAGCAGGACCACATGGTCCCTTCTGTGATGAAGCATGGGGGGACATGAAGAGAGGAAAGAAAGGACTTGACCTAATCAGAGAGTTTGCAAAAGCCATGTGAGTTGCTCTCTGGAGGAAGACAGCTGTGGAGGGAGGAGTGGAATAAAGTGGCTTATGGAGAGACACCAGGCGGTGAAAAGGCATTATCATTTTCAGAGAATAGCAGACATCAGAATGAAGGACAGAGGGCGGGCTCCGCTGGTGTAAGGGCCAGTGCAAGCAGAACACTGAGATTAGGAAAAGGATTCATCTATTGGAGGAATCCAAGGTTGAAAGTGGAGGGGGGGGGAGGCTGTGATACTGGAGACTAAGTCTATTTGAAGAAAATTGTCTTCTCCAGAGACTCTCATTTAGACTCATCCTATTTAGAAGGCAGAGAACAAGGGGGTCAGAGTTCTAACAAAGAAACAACCCCTAGGACGAGCTGTTGCACCCATTGCTCAAGGTACCCTTAAATAATGACAAGGCACCATCCTCATGTAACTGAGATCTCCTGCAAGCAGTGAAGTCGGACTCTGAACACAGCCTGGCCTTTCACATGCTCTGTGGTTCTGGGGTGACATTCAGTTGCAGCTCTCTCTCCTTGTGGTCAACACAAGCTAGTCTTTTCCCTCTTTTACAGATGTTTACACAAAGAGAAATGCTAGAAATTTCTCATGAACTTGTGATTGACATAAAATGACTATCCCCATGCCTGTGTTCGCTGTAATTTGTTAAAAATGAAATAAATAATTCCATGTACAATAACAGCCAACAGCTTGCTGGCGCACACTCTGCTAATGACCCTTTGCTTATTCTGGGTGTTCCCTGCAAAAGAACTTTTTGTCACATGGCAGGTAGCCACATCACCTTCTTTCACCATCTAAGGAAGGACTGCCCAGGCAGCATCTTGTATTTCTCATTCTGTCTCATGTCACAATAAAGCTGTAAGCGCACAGTAGATAGTGATTCATGGTCTCTGAGCAGCTGAACTTCAAAAATGTTATCCAAGGACAATAAGACGATGAGATTTTTGTGGCCGTGTTTATAGAACAGATTCTAACTAACTCTGATAAATACACATAGCTATCATCTCTGAGCAATGATCCTTATTTTCTTCTTTATATCTGGTTTTCCTGCATTGGGTATAGAAATGGGCAGAGAAGTGGGTGTGTATATGGTTGTAGATCTAAAAAATAGAAAATACCAATAAAGATTTTGAAACCAAAGTTTATTTGAATGGGTAATTTGTAGGTTTTCATATGGAGTAGGTAGTTTAAACACTTAGACCTGAAATGAAAGAAAACACTGGGGAGTGATTTCTTCTTCAACAAATTCTGAACACTGAATTTTATGTCTGCACAATGCCCAACACAGCTGGCACATAGTGTAAACTCAGAGTTTATTTTTTGAGTAATAATCACTGGTGAATCTCACTCATGGAGTTAAAACTAAGATACTGCTTTGCCTATCAGTGTAGGAAATAGAAATTTAAAGCGCTCAGCTGAGTGTTGAAATGCCTGCCAGGAATCATGTACTTCCCCCCCCCCCCCACTGCGAAAGCAGCCCTGCCTCTGGACCAGGCAGTCCCATACATACAGGGACTCTATTGCAAAACAATTAAGGTTGTGAGCCTCCCTGGGGTGTTACTCTTTGAAAAGCTGATTCAGGAGATGCCATAAAGTGATGGCTTCTAGTGATCATTTTTTTAATTTTCTCCCTTACACTTTTCCTTTGGCTTTCTACAATAAAAGTAGTTTGGGTGTGATTATGGGTTCTTAAAAGAAAATATAGAAAAGTATAGAAAATTTTGAAATTCAAATTTGTCTTCTGATTTGTTAGATTAATAAAATGATATGTTTACTTAGTTTCAAACTGTTCATTTCTACACACTATTTTTTAAATACACCCTGGATGAAATATACAGTACTTTAGAAATTTAATTTTCTTAGGTCTGAAAGAGATGACTCTGGAGGTTAAGAGAACCCAGGTTTTATTTCTAGCACCCATACAGTGGCTTACAACCATCTGTAACTCTAGTTCCAGGCAATCTGACCCCTCCTTCTGGTCTCCATGGTTGTCAGGCTCACAAGTGTTGTACAGACATGCTGCTTGCAGGCAAAATACCCATATATATAAAATTAAAATGAATAAATCTTTTTAAAGTCTGTCTTCATCCTCAAAGTTTCACTGATAGTGCACAGAAGGGGAAATCTGTATACATTTAACTCTATGGGAAGGAGATAGCACATAAAACCACTATGCTTTATAATAGTGCTGGACCCTTTTAAGATCACTGTAAAAGACAGACATGGTGGCATATGCCTTTAGTCCCAGCACTCTGGAGGCAGAGGCAGATGGATCTCTGAGTTCAAGCCAGCTTGATCTACAGAGCAAGTTCTTGAAAACAAGAAAATCACTGTCATATGTATGTGTTTATCATTCTACCTGCTTTTCTGCCCTCGGCATGATATATGATGCCAAGGCATTGGTGGGGGAACATATAAAAAGGGAAAGAATTAGAAAAGAACAAAGACAATTACATGTGACAGCCAAGAGTGTGGAGTTCTGAAGTTAAGTTTCAATGTTTCCAGGTAAACCCACCTCTTCAGAAAATCAAGGAAAGTCAGTTAAACCTGCAGTTGCCATGACTTCCACAAGTGGGTCAGGGAAGCGGAAAACAGTTGGGAATTCTCTAAGAATTTAGGCTAGTAGTATCTATCAGTCATCAACACTGTTCACCCAGGATAAGCAGGACAGCAAGCCCTCAGTCATTTGCTCCTAAGTGCTCAGAGGATAGAAGCTGCAGGTGTGTTTGAATGAAACAAATAAAAATACAAGTTGAGTAATTGAATTAGAATTTCAGATGAACAAAGAACATTTTTAGTATCTTAGCAGGACGTGGGTTGGGGTGGTTGTGGTTCTTAGCTATAGCCATGGAGTCACCCTAGTCAAGTCTATTCCCCGTCTTACAAAAATCATGAGAGTACGCTGAGCAGTTCAGATAATTTTTTATAATATTTTCATTTTTTACCCATAAAAATGAGAGCTAGAAAGCTGGAGGTATAGCTCAGTGTCCAAACATTTGTGTAGTATGAATGAGATCCTAGTTTCTAACCCTGGTTTCTGGTGCTCACACACACACACATACACACACACACACACACACACACACACACACACACACACACGCACGCACGCACATAATCGCAAGCACAGATACATGTAAGCACACATACACACCAGGGAACAGGGTTGTAGAGAAATTACTTCCCTTATCAGAAGTAAAAACTTTATTTAGTCATAGGCTTTCTTTTTCCTATAGGGTAGAATGGAGCTCATATCCTTTGATGTTTTTAGACATTCATTTAGCGTGTATGTGTGTGGGGGGGCACAAGTGTATGAGTGTGGTCTTAGAATCAATTTTGGCATCAAGCATGTCAGCCGGGCATCTTACCATCCCTAATCTTTTCCACAGAAGAGTAAGCTAAGGCCAAAAGCAGTTATGTGCACTATGCAGGAAATGGGAAAGCAGGGCATCTTTTTGTGCAGGACCACTGTATGATTTGTTAACTTTATTTCACATTTTCTCATCTTGTGGAAGGAAGGAGCCTTAGTTTTCTCTCCCCTAAAGTATACAAGGTCATAAATATGAATGAGATTTTGGGGAAAGTGCTGATAGTATGTCAGATCCAACAAGAATTTATGAGCACTCTGAATGCACCCTTCATGTGTGATTTCTTAATTTATTCCCCATAACAATGCATAGAGATGAGTGTGACTTCTTTATCTGACAGCTTGGAATTTTAGGTTCTGAGATTTGAATTGCCTGTGACCAAGGAGGCAAGAAATGGTAAAAAGCAAGATTTAAAACTGTGTGCTTTATTTTTAACTAAAACAGGAGTTTGGGTAAAGTGAGACTGAAGCCTTACTTCAATCTTCAAGCTCAAGACTTAAGAGTTCCAAGATTTACTCTCTTCCAGAAATACGGGATATTGTTACTTTTCTTCAATTGCGGCTGCGGGCGATGAAACACGAACCACAAAACTGTTGTGTTTTTTGGAGGGATAGCCGTTGGCTAACTGGGGAACAGAGTTGGAAGTGGGGAAAGGGGTGAGGGACGGGATGAAGAGAAGAGGGGAGGAGGAAGAAGGGGAGAACAGGCAGGAGGTGTTCGCTTAAAAGGGGAAGCTTGCACATGTGTAGAGTCCTTACACAGCCACACAACGAGTGAACTAGCCACAGAACACAGGGCCCTTTAAGCTGTCTAAATCGCTGCCTGAATGCCCGTGTGCATACCCTGCCAGCTGTCAGGGGGTAGGGTCAGCATAATGCTAGGATACCAACACCACATGCACAGCGCTTGAAACAGCCTTCTATTCCCTGTACCTGAGCCTTCCTGCTCTGTTTCTCACATGGACAGATGGTCAACAAATACCTACTGGATGCTAGAAAATAATGATTTGTGATGAGGAAGCTTTAATCCTTAGAAAAGAACACACACTAACAAGCATGACTACTCTAGTAGTTCAAGACGTGCTTGCCTCCAGACAATCTTGGCTTTTTGTTTGTTTGTTGTTGTTGTTTTGTCTGAATGCTTTTAGAACTCTAGATGCATCTCCGGATAAGATACAGAAAGCATGTTTTCTGTATGCTCCTTCCTGGGTTTTCTTTAAACTGGATTATAGAGAATTACAACATAAATTATATCTATGAAGTAAAAACAGGAATGCTTCTCTAAAGGCTTAATATTCTCCCAATACATATTTTAATGAATTAAAAAGTTGAGAAACACCAGCTCTCCTTAGATCCCAGCACTCAGGAGCCGGGGCAGGATCTCTCCAAGTTCAAGGCCAACATGGTCTACACAGTGAGTTCCAGGTCAACCAGGGCTACATAGTGAGACCCCCAATTCAAAGACAAGCAAACAAAAGCCTGACAAACTGTCACAGAGGAGATATTTGGTAATTTAATTTAAAGTTAAAATGTAGCCTCATTACCTTTCCCTGAGGTAACTAAGCCACACATCTTTGTTTCTTCTCAGTCGTGAGATAAAGGAAAATGCAGTGGAGCGATTCATGTTTCAGATCAAGAAACTGAGGGACAAGAATCAGAGGTACCAAGACAGGGTAAGTGCAACTTGACAGTAGGCAGGCACTGAGCATGCGTGCCCAAACAATGGCGAGTCATGACGGAATGTACCTTCAGTGCTTGGAATTGCCTGGCTTATAATTTATTAGGTTTCTACATACATGTGAGGCAAGCAGGCACTACTGTTCCCATGGTATGGAGGATGCCAATGGAAGTCAGGTCAATCATGGTTCTTAGCCCATGAGGGCGGACCCTCTAGAAATGACATTCACCTTTGGACTTCTTGTTTATCCAAATGGTAAAACACTACTTCTCTGTTTTTCATCTCTGAATCTTTAGTTTCAGCTTTTCCCAGAATGTTCATGAGTAAATGCACTTAGAACGATATAATCCCAATTGTTAAAATTACTAATGGCATACTTAAAGATTATTTTGTAAAAGTGGGGTTAAGGGTCACCAGAAAGCACCTGCTACCAAGCTTTGCAACCCAAGTTTGATCCACAGAAGCCACATGATGGACAGGTTGACCAACTCTTACAAATCTCTGATCTCTACATATGCTCTGTGCCATTTGTCCATGCATGTACATACATACATATATTCACACATACATACATGCATTTATACATAATTAAAATGTTTTAAAACTAGATTAATAGCAAGGGAATGCTGGATAATCATATTAATATTTTAAGATGATATAGAAATAATATCTGTAAGCAGAAAATGATAATGAGCCAAAGTTTTACCTTGTGACATCACAGTCACAAGGAGAGCCAAGACATACTTTCTTCACTGATTGACTTTCTGTGGTCTGGGAACTTCCACAGTTAACTGTTTTATTTGGCTATTTTGTTTATCTCCTACCCCATACAGAATCACACTCTACCACCCAGCCTAGCCTTGAACTTATAATTCTGACCCAGTCTCCTGAATGCTGGCATTATACATGTGCATCATACCAGGCTTCAGTTTTGTTCTTAAAAGCTGTATCTTTACATTTTTGTGGAATCTGATGTCAGAGTTCTGAGTTTGCATCCTGACTATACAACTTTCTAGTGATACCTTTCTGGAAAAATTGGTATGGCCTCAGTTTCCCTCTTATAAAATGAGAGCCTCTGTCCATTCCACACTGACCTGTGGCACTTGACATGCTTCTAGAGATATGCCTGTGACTCTGATGTTGTTACAATGGTCAGTACTTGTGATAAGAATTAAAGCAGGTGGCCAGGTGTACTCCATTGATTCCAGCACTGGGGAGGCAGAGGCAGGAGGATCTCTGAGATCAAGGCCAGCCTGGTCTATAGAGCTAATTCCAGGACAGGCTCCAAAGCAATACAGAGAAACCCTATCTCAGAAAAGAAGTAGATGAAGATGAAGAAGAAGAAGAAAGAGGAGGAGGAGAAGAAGGAGGAGAAGGAGGAAGAAGAGAATTAAAGCAGGCACAAGTGGATAGTGAGAATGAAAAGAGGCCTTGTCAATAGATTTGAAGTCCCACACAGTGTTATCCAATGCATGGAAGGAGACTGAGCTGCCTTCAAAGGGACATTCTCCGCAGGTCAGTACCTGTCCTACATCAGGTGTGGTTAGGGAAGCACAGCAGGTCAGGATTAAGACATCGCTTTTCTCGCTTTCCTGTCCAAGTGCTGGGATTACAGGCATGTGCCACTACACCCACCTCTTGCACTTTGTTTTCTGTTTCATGTTCTTCTGACTTTTCTTTCTCCATTACTGTGTTTTGTGTTGTTCTAGTGGGCCCTTTTAACTATTATTTTGTTAGTAGATCTTATTTTCTTAGTGACTTTCTTGGGGATTCTAATTAACATCCTAATTTATAGTAATCTGGTTAAAATTAATAACAAGTCCATCTCTAAAACATACAAAGCTGTTGCTCTATGTCCTCCCTCCATGGATGTTTTATCATACAAATTGAGATTGATTGGTTGGTAATGAAATGTAGTTCTATATTTATTGCTCTACATAGTTTTTCAAATAAACTAATTTCAAAAAGTAGAATTATATAAGTTTCCGATTTACTATACAGTTGCTTATATTGCTGACCCTGTGTTTTCTCACAAATACAAGTCATTTTCTTGTGCCATTGACTTCATTGTAAAAGACTCACATTGTTAATTACTGTAGGGCAGGTTGGTGTGTGATTCATTCTCTCAATAAGACAACAATGGCAAGAATAAACTTTAAGTTGGTTAGATATACAGCTCAGGAGCATGGATCAGACACCCACAAAAATAACATGACTTTTATTTCAAGTATAAAGTCTGGAATAACCACCATCCTAATAGAATGAAATAGGGTCATTTGTGATAAAAATCAAAGAATAATGGAGTTTACACAAAAGCCGGACTGTTTCCTGTGTTGTTAATGGTCCCACTCATGTGCCCAGCACACAGCCTGGCACTTGGTAGATGACTAAGTTAGGAAGACTAGAGAAGAGCAGGGTTGACAGAAGATTCAAAATAAAATCAGCTCCAAGATTTGGTTTAAATGTTCATGGAGTCTGTGGGAGGGTGATAAACTGGTAAATTGGTGGCACATTCTTGAAAATGCAGCATTCTATTGGTGGCTATTGCACTGATCGATTTTATTTGGTTTTTGAATCTTACATGTCCTGTAAGCTCTTGAAGCAGTTAATTGTGTTTCTTCTCACTTTGCAAGCCTCAGTGCATGCCTTGTGTTCTGGGCAGACAATGTAAACAGTTGAGCAGATGTCCTTAACTACTGTTTTTCTATGGCAGAATAGACGCCTGAAAGAGGAGCAGAAATGGCACATAAAGAACCTCCTAAAAGAACTGACTGAGGAGAAGTCAGAAGGAGTCCCAGCTGTGTCAAGAGAGGATGTGGAAGAAGCAATGAAGGAAAAATGGCAGTTTGAAAGAGACCAGGAGAAAAACTTGAAAGGTGAGTCAGGAATTTGGAAAATGATAATGAATATTGCCTTCATTTGTGACTTAATGCCTTCGTCTTCCAATGTGTTCAAAATGTTGTGACCATATTTCTGATGACATCATCTCTACCACAGCCACAATCCTTCCAGGGATTCAGGGAGGAGAAGGGAAGGATGAAGTGGGCAGAGGCCATGTGAGGAGGAGGACTAGGGCAATGAGCAAGCCCAGGAATGAAATCCATCTGCCCTCTCACCCCGACGGTGTCCTGAGCTCTGAGTTCTCTCGATGGGTTGTTCTTTTTTATGAAGTTCTGTTGTTGAAGGACTTTGTTGGCTTTAGATTTGGGCATAACAGAGTGAATGTCATCATGGACGCCCCTTCTCCAATCTAATGGAATTAAGCCTTGTGTTGGATAGGAGAAAGAGAGCTTAGAATAGGGAAAGGGAAACTAGGAAAATGATTCTGGGGATGGCAGCAGAAAACACAAGACTACTCTTACTATTGGAAACACATGACCCTTCTGATAAAGCACATGTATAGTTTTGATATGCACATTTCTTATCCCTGTTCTTTCATCCAACACTTCTTGCTGACAGTTCCAAAATTCCTTTGACAATAATCCCTTGAGTTGGCATCACATCACAATGGCTGCCCAGCTGCTCTGGCTAAGTTACTTTTGCAATGGCTCCAGTTGAGGCGCACCTGTTGGTATGGAGGCATGGAGCACAGGGGCGCCAAACTGTCTCAGGGTTTCTATGGATGTGATAAAACATGATGATGAAAAGCAGCATGTGGAAGAAAGTGTTTATTATAGCCTACAGCTCTCAGCTCACAGTCCTTCCCTGAAGGAAGTCAGGGCAGGAACTCATGCCAGGAACCTGAAGTAGAGGCCATGAAAGAATGCTGCTCACTGACTTGTCCCTGGTGCTTTGCTCAGCCTGCCTTCTCATACCACTCAGGACCACTAACCCAGTGATGATGCTACCCACAATGGGCTGGGCACTTTCACATCCATCATCAATTGCTTTACCATAGGTTAGTCTGATGGGGGCATCTTCTCAATTGAGGTTCCTGCTTCCAAAATGACTCTAGCTCATGTCAAGTTGACATAAAAAACAACAACAACAAAAACCAACAACCAAGATACGTACTAAATGGGGGCCAAGTTGGATGATTTACTAGAGTAGGGGGAAGGCAAATCATGTAAAACTTCTATAGAAGAGGGAAACCACAGAGACTATGGAAGAGATGGAAAGTGAGACAGCAGCTGCCTCAGGAGAGATCTTCTGTGACAGCTACATGCATGCCAGGCAGACCCTTGCAAGGACCTTGTTTTGAGGTGGAACATACTCGGTAGCTCATGAGGGAACTTCTGAGAATCAACAAGTCTCAGGCCCTGCCCAGGCCTTCTGAATCAGCATCTGCATTTTTTTCCACAAAATATATTTATTGATTATTTGGGAATTCAACATTATGCACCCCAATCACATTCACTTCCCAGTCCTCCCAGGTTTGCACTCCCCCCCACACACACACTTGTGATTTCCCTTCCCAAGAAAGAAGACTAGAGCTTGTTCAAACTCCCATTGACCAGCCCTTAAAGAAAACTGAGTCCTTCCCCACCCACACCCCCTAAAGAAGCCCTCAACTGTGGAGAGCTACAGCCATACCACCCTGAATGCACCCAATCTAGTCTGATCTTGGAAGCTAAGCAGAGCTGGGCCTGGTCAGTAACTGGATGGCAGAATCTGCACTTTTCAAAGGCTCCTGGGGAATCTCTAATGCTCGGGAAGATCTGAGAGGCACTGCTAGAGCCTTTGCCTCCCAGCTTTTAGCTAGAACATATTCAAGTGGATAAAAATCCAACTGGGTAGGAAAGGAAGGGGAAAGGGTAGTCAACGTAAGCCAGCTTGCATCTCCATCCCTCTCTCTCCAAAACTTCAGCGACATCTGTCAGTCCTCCCTGTCAAGAGCCAAAGGTAGCAGAGATTCAAACAGTAGGAGTCTGCCAAATGGGAGGACAGTGGCCTATCTGGTTTTCATAACTGTTTAAAGACATTAACCAACACCATTTAGGGGATTTATGGTCTTACATGTGTCTAGGGAAACCATGCCCAGGGTCCCTTAGAACTCTGGACTCAAGGCATCCTGTAAAGAAACAGTTACTGAGCTGACCAGCTAATTTCCAGGTCCAAGAAGGTGGGATTTACAGGGATGATTAGTACAGTGTTGCCTTGAAGAGACTCAAAGGAGGCGGTGTGAGAAGTGAGCCAAGCCACTGTGAGGTTCACTGAACATGACTCTGAGCTCTGCTTCCCATACACAGGCTTTCAGCAATGTTATACTTGGGCCCGTGAACTGAATCGTGCTTAGCAAGTTCACCAAGGCAGGCCCAAACGCTCAGGTTTGAATAGTTGAGTATTTGTGGGTATTTAATTGGAGAATTCATCTTCCACCCTGCAGTATTACAATGTGGGAAAATGGGAGAAGACATGTTACTGACTGCTGTATGCTAGCATTTCTCAAAAGAAATGCCAAAAATGGAAATTTCAATGACCAAATCAAACAATTGACTGATTACCAAAAAAAAAAAAAAAAAAAAAAAAAAAAAAAAAAGACTCTCAAAACTGAGCTTGGTGGCATTCCTGTAATCCTTGTATTTAGGACAGGGAATTAGAAGTTGAAGGTTAGCTTCTGCAAAGGATTTGAAATCACTTTTGCCCAGACTTGGAAAAGCCACTCTATTTAAATTGTAGGGGGCTAGAGAATTGGCTCAGCAGTTGAGCCTGTGTTCTTCAGAGGACCCAGATTCAATTCCCAGGACCCACTTGTAGCTTATAATCACCTATAACTCCAGGATCTGATGCCATCTGGCCTCCTCGGGTACCGGGTATGCATGTGGTACACAGACATACATTTAGGCAAAACACCCATACACCATAAAATAAAAAATTAAAATAAACTGATTTTCACAAAGCCATCCATCATAAGACATGAAGGCTTGAGCAAGTGAGGACCCTGTTGAAACAATCATAGATTTAAGTTTGTGGGTTCCTAGGCATATATAATGTGTCGTTTGCATAGTTCTAAGCCATGTATCTACTTTAGAGTTGAAAGTTTAATTTTACTTAGGTTAGTCATGAGGGACATCTAATAATTTTAATAGTTTAGATTTCCTAAAATTGCACATATAGTATTTACAAATTAATTGCATTTTAGCATCAGACTTTATCTGTGAAAACTGACTGTACTGTATAATAGTTCCAAGGATGATGGAAGTGACATGTGCCTTGTTTTTCTTTCCAACAGAAATGCGCATACAAATAAGTGATGCTGAGAAACTATTCCTTGAAAAACTCAGTGAAAAGGAATATTGGGAAGAGTACAAGAATGTAGGGAGTGAACAGCATGCTCAACTCATCATTTCCTTACAAAATGACATTGACACGGTCAAAGAGAATGCAGAGAAAATGTCAGGTCAGTTGCAACAGAATTCATTCAAATTCAATAAAACGATGAGCAGAAGGCCCATATTTATTAGACAAAAAGCCAGGGCACTCCCCAAATCATTCATTATCAAAACAGGAAACCCAGCTGTGATACCACAGAAACCAGAGATGCTGTACAGGCATTAGGGCAATTGTGTCCAAGAGAGCCTGAAATAAGAGGATATCAAATTTTATTTGGGGAATACTCACGAATGACAATAAGGTAGAGATCTGCAATCAGATCTCCCATCACCACACAAAAGAGCGAGCATGCTTCTTCTCTCTGTTTATCAATCTGCATGTAGCACCTCAGACCATGCCCAAAAGGGCAGATACCCCAAAAACTATTGCTTGATTTGGGTGCCATGGAGATGGATGGGTACTGAGGACCAAGGGCCAAAGGAAAAATTGTCAGTTTCAATGAACACTGTGTCCCCTGCATCAAAGAACTACAGATGCAGGGCCACAAGATTGGGGAAAGGCAGTCTTCTGAAGAATCTAGACAAACTCTCTGGCAATAGGAGGGATAGCCTTGATTGCTAATGAGACCCAGGGATTGGACATGATTGAACAGGCTTGGTCAAATAAGTAAAGAACCACACCACAGACACCCATAGGCTGTGGGCAATGAAACCAAAGCAGAGTCAGGGACAATTGGAAGGTACAGTGTTGGCTGACACACATTAGACTGCAAGGTTTGGGGGTAGCTTCTCAGAAGTGACTGTGAAACACAGGACAGTTCAACAGCCAACAGTCTTGAAGCACAGACTCAACAGTCTCTCAAGTGTCCACTTGTGGTGTCTCAGATTTCTCCAAGGAGGTTCGCCTGCTTTCTTTGGCTGCCTTCAACAGTGAGTGGTTAGGAAAGGTCCCGGCTATAGGAAGCACCAACTGAATCACAAAAGGCAGCTGGGAGATTTTCACAGTAGACCTTGTGCTGTGCATTCCACTCTGTTTTTTTTTTAAGAAAGGCCAATCCATAGGATACTATTGGAGTTTACAACCAGGTAACATGCTAGCATCCCCTTTTCAGTATTAATAGAGCAATGGAACCAGACCTTCAGAATATATTTGGTTATCCAGGCTTTACAAGTTCTTTCAGATGCTAGGAATGACAAATAGATTACAGCTAAAGTTCTGACTCACAGAAACTTTGAGATGACTGAATTTAGAGATTAAAGGAACAATTAATATTAACCTGTTGGGCTAGGGCCTGAGTCAAAGAAAGACATACCATGAGATGGACTGGAAGAGTTAAATAGTCATGATACTCCAATGAAAGTGAAGACACAGTGGGATGAGCATATGTCGTGTAGACCGACATAGACCTCCGCTTCTCACTTTCCAGATGTCAAGCTAGACTAGCTCCCCAAACCTGCCTAGCTTTCTTCTTTATACCTCACACAATATTGCTCAACTCTATCAGAGGCCCTGTCCTGACCCCTGTCCAACATTGGGTCAAGCTCTCCTCTCATAATTGCCTCCACTCCGATCTCTACCTCAGTTGTTCCTGAAGAGCCACTATTGGCTGCCAAACTCAGGGGCTGAAGTCTCAGGCCACTGCCTACCAGTGGCTGGCAGATTCCACATTCAGTGTTCAAGAGAACAGGAACACAAAAATACCCAGGAGTCATTTCACTTTCTCAGCTCTCTTCATCTAACAGGGAAAGAGCTATAAAATACAAAGTCCAGGTGAGGATGGAGTAACTTGCTCTGCTTCCTTGTCCCCTAGTAGTGCCCGTAGTTTGGCTGTTGAAGGACCAGACCTGCCATTTCCTTCCCATCAGCCCAAGATCCCATAGTTCTGCTGTGGCTTCCTCAGTCTGTTAAGAAAATGCCCCCACTTTCACAGGATTCCACCCTAGACAAGGAACTTCAGGCCACTATTGACTATTGGGAGAAGGAGAATTAGTATCTCCCATGAATGAGCCCCCTTATTGGTTGTTCATTGCAGAGTGGTCAGTCTTGAAGTCATATACCTACCACAAACAATAATGTATTTAGCAGGATATACATATACATATATATGTATATATGTGTGTATGTATGTATATGTATAATATGTGGACATATGTATCTACATGGACATACACATCTGTGTATTCAACAAATATAATCAAAGAAAAAGAGGCTACCAGCTTGAGAGCGGGAGTATAGGAAGGTTTGAGGAGGAAAACTGGGATGTGATTGAGAAAGGAAAGCAAAGGGAGAAGTGATAAAATTCTATTTCAATTTAAAACATTAAAAAAAATAAAAGTATAAGAGGCTAGAAAGATCATCTAAGCTTCACAGATAAAATTTGCTACATTTTTCTGGAAAGCCTTTTTCCATAAAATAAATACTTCACATGCAACAACAACAAAAAAAGAAATTTCCCCCTTTGAAACAGAGCTCTGAATGAAAGGCAGTTAGGGTCTTAGTATGGTATACTTGTTTAATTTGAAGGTTAAATAAGGCTCTGTGATCTGTCCAAAACCCTAGCAAACATGATTTCCAGTGTTATCCATATGGGAAAATACACCTTGACTTTCAACATCTTGCATATGTTATACACAAAGCACAACTGATGAAATATGCATCATAGATGCTATTATGAACAACTAAGTTTGACTATTGTCACATTAAAGTCTTTGGGGAAGTACCGTTGCCTCATTGCTGAGTATACCACTTGTCTAAACTCTACCCAAATACTTCCTCTTATCTGAAACAGAGGACTTGATTTTATCACACACATCACCACCTGAAATGATCCTTTTCTTACTGAGGCATTCACAGTTTCTTCAATAGCAGCTTGATAACTGTTGGGGGAGGGAGGACTGGTCTCCCTTTTGCAGCTCTGTCTCTCTCCCCTTTCTCAATCAGACTTACGCCATTGTACTCCATTTTCATTTCAAAGGAGCACTGGTTATGTGACCCCTTAACACCTCTGAAGGCTTAAGCGTTGCACCTTTACTCCATCATTAATAAATAGAACTGGAGAAATGGCCCAGTGCGTAGAAGCCATACAAACCTGGGACTTGGGTTTGATCCCTGGGACCTTCTTAAAAACCTGGATGCTGGGACATGCATTTGTAATCCTAGCATTCTTACTGGGAGAAGAGAGGCTGAGGCAGGAGGATTGCCTCCTATGCACAGTGGCAGAAACAAGAGATCCTGCTTCAAAAACAAGGTGGAAGTGTTCTGACTTCCCAGAGCTATGCTCTGACCTCCACATATGTACCAACATGTAGACTTATTCACAAACAAATCTTTTTTTTTTTTTTTTTTTAAAAGAAAAGAAAATCCTGGAGGATAGGAGCCCTGTACCTTATCTCTGTCCCCTGCCTTGCTAGATGCTCAGTGCATTCTGATGTCAGCTGCCTCCAGCCCATCCACCCCATCCTCACTGTGTCTTCCTTGCATAAGAAACCATATGCCGGAAATGTTGGTAATCTAGTTAGTTAGAGTCGGATGTACACCATGAGGCTCAAACAGATGATTAAGTCTGTATATACCTGCTGTGAAATCAAAACCACCTAATCCAGAGTGATCCAATACTGCTATACAAGTATTGCTCCAAATTCCTCCTCTGCAGAGAGAATCCTTTGAAAATACAAACATCCTCAGAGACCTTAGATAATTCAAACTAAGATGTTAGCAAATAATTGGGGCATTTCTTCTGAACTAAATGTTTCATAAAAATAATATTCTTGAGAATTTGGGGATGGGGTGAGATGTGTGTAGAGAGGGAAGAGGGTCATGAAAAGTAAAATTTATAAACATCACAGTTTTACCTTCGATTAGCCCCACTAAGGCTTGTAATTTCTTTTTAAAGAACAGTATAAAATCACTCTAGAAGATGCTAGAAAGCGAATAATCAAAGAAACACTGGTACAGATGAACCAAAGGAAGGAATGGGCCACACAGGTGTGTATCGATTCTCTTCAAGCAAAACTTCCCCTTATTCTTTCATGTACAGCCATGATGGTAAATGCCTGTCTGAGGCCGTGCAGAACAGTCTTGTAAGCCTAGCACTCTGAAGGCTGTGTCAGGAGGACCATGACCTAAATAGCCAGACCTAGTGTCAGAAAGCAAGCATGGGGGTTAGCAAGCAGCTTAGCGATGGAGCACTTGTCTAGCACTACCAACAGAAACACCATCACTTTCACCAAACAAAACAAAAGTCTTGATTTCCAGTTAGGCAGTTTGCCGTGCTGTCCCAGCACATACAAGCTGTAGAACATAACACATTACTTCATTTTCCCAGACTTCTGTTTTCTAATGTACAGAGCAAACACCATTATATTTACCTTAAATACAGAGTATAAGGATTAAACAAGCTTATTAAGTGGTATCTTATCTCACAAGGAGCAAGTGAATTCCTACTCAGTTTTGTTAATGGTGTCATATGGCTATAGTGAAATATTAAGAATAAGTGTCTTGAATGAAGTATAATTTGTCTGAACACTATTCTCTATGTACTTAACCCGGAAGGGTACATTTTACATTGCTGGGTTTTAAAGATTTCGACTAGAAAGTCAGGTGTAGTGGCATGTCTTTAATCCTAGTACTTGGTAGGCAGAAACAGCCTGGTTCTATATATTTTAAGTTCCAGCACAACCAGGGCTACCGAGAGAGACTGGTATCTCAAAAAAAGAAAAAAGTTGGGCTAAAATTCATGTTTCAAGATGAAATTCCCAGCCATCTGTTTCTCTTATGACTTTGTCACATGTGATGTCTAACTCCCCCAACACACACACACACACACACACACACACACACACACACACACACACACACACACTTCCTGAATCAGTAGAGGAAATTCCTGTTTAAATCCCACCCTTTCTTCAGAATCCTAAGCACCTGATGTTTTCAAAAGTCCTGTCCACAGTTCAGCTGCAATGCTCATTGAATCCGTGTCACTCTCCTACCTGCCTAGCTAGCATCTAAAGATTTGCAAAGACAGAGGTTATGACAGATTCACAAAGACAGAGGTTATGGAGAACTGATGGATAGTTTGTCTGCTCAGGCCACTGTGTCACTTTGTGACTGAGTCTGAGGAAATGGTGAAATTCATCTTGAAATGATCTCATTACAGTTCAAATGACTTAAGATGTCTATGTGAACATCACATGACAAAATGAAACAAAGCACACTTGTTAGTGCTCATCTCGAGGACTGTTCCAAGCTTTCATCTGACATTTAAATCTCCCAGCAATCCTTCAAGCTTTTAGGGACTTGCTAATGGGATGGCAGTACTCAGGACAGTGACCTGTGCAAAACACTGGAAGGATCCAGATCCAGTTCAGAAAATGTTCACATCATGACTCAGTGTCACTCTGCAAATCCCAGCACCCGAGGGCTTTGATGAATTTTCAGCCTATTTACAGGCCTTTGTACCTTCCTGTGTTCTGTGCTGTGCAATCTTAACTAGACATTCATGTATCATCCTCATGATGCCTGGGTCCAATTTGCAAAGATGCTAATGTAATCACTCTGGGACATTGTTCTGGCTTATGGATTTTCCAGTTTTCATTAGGTTCTGATATATATATATATATATGTATAAAGTTAAAAACCACTGCCCTACTGTTAATGAATTAAGTAACAAGCCCACTAATCTCAGTTAGGACCTCCTTTAGATTTTGTTCAGATATTTTAGGGGGGGCACCCAGAAGGGGTTAGAGAGATGGAAAAGTACTTGTTGCACTTACAGGGGTCCTGGGTTTGATTCCCAGCACCCACATGGTGGCTCACAACCATCCATAATCCCAGTTCCAAGGAATCTTATGCCCTCTTCTGACCTCCTTGGGCACCAGGCACACACACACAGTACACATTCATATGTAGACAAATCATCTGCACACAAAATAAAATAATCTAAAATATGATATTGTGGTGGAAATGTGAGTTATTAGTTATAGCTGGACTATACACATTCCTAGGAAATTCATGTTGTCTCTGAATTCAATAAACATGATCTAAAGTCTTTTCATTGAAAAAGAATAAAGATTTAACTAATCAATTTATCTTTAACATACTATTATTTCTGTCCATGTTTACAATGTGGAACATTTTTTTCTTTATTTATATGTGTACAAGTTCCTGTGTGTGCACACATATACATGTGGAGGACCCTTCATTTGTCTGTCTCCCCAGCACTGGGATTGTAAACACACCGCCACATCCATGGGTTTTTGTTTTGTTTTTAAGTCATGTGTGTGTGTGTGATTGCACATGGGCCATGGCACACACATAGAGGTCAGAAGACAGAAGACAACTTTTGGGATTTGATTCTTTCCCGCTGTTGGTGCTGGGGATGGAACTCAGGTTGTAAAGCTGATACAGTATGTGCTTTTACCCATTAATCCATCTCACACCAACATCCAATTTTTTACTTGAGTGCTGGGAATTGAACCCAGACCCTCATGCTTGTACTTCAAGCACTTGCCAAATGTGCTATTTCTTCAGCCCTGTTTCTTTTGTTTCATGTTTGCCATGTTCTTTTAGTTTTTATCCTTTTAAAAGGTTTTTATCTTGAGTTAGAGAGTTGATTCAGTGGTTGGGTGTACTTGTTGCTCTCCAAGAAGACCAAGGTTTGATTCCCAGAAGCCTCATGACATATTGAAGCTGTCTGTAACTTTAGTCCCAGAGGATCTGGTATCCTCTTTGGACCTCTGTGGGTACCAGGCAGGCATATGCTACACATGCATGCATGAAGGCAAAACATTTATATACATAAAATCATAAACAAATTTTAAAAAATTAAAAATATATGTTAAAAAGAGGTTTTGTCCCTTAGTAACTGAATGTTGGATTTGAAACATGTATTCATGTGAAACCATCCCACAAAGAAATACCATGTCATCTGCTATAAAAGTCTTGTGTGTAAGACTATAAATATCAGGCTGGGGATATGGTTAAAAACAAGATTAAAACAAAGGTAGAGACAAACCCTGTCCCACCAGTATTGATATTGTGCATCACCTTATGGCAACTCTTCCTTTATACAAAACTTTTCTTGTAGAACGCTGTAAAGTTCATCGACAGGAGCAACTATCGAGAGATCTGGGAGAATGACTGGCTAAAAAAAGAAGTAAGTAGAATGTATCAAAATAATTCCTCCTATTTTTTTCTTGAACTGGCAATGACCTTTAATTATAACGTTGAAGTCATAGAACAAACATGGAATTTTTACTGGCATAAAGGAATGTCCAAGTAAAAGCTAATCCTATTATATTGTTACTCAACAAATGCCATAAATAATCTCAATAATAACCAGAAATAATTTGGAGGCTTAATCCCCACTGCACACCCAAATGTGCCAAGTTCCATTGTGTCCTAAAACCTAGGTAATATTTCTCATGAACCTGCCTCCTGCTGCTGGGTGGTTGGCAAGGCTAAAGAATCATCATGGTTCCTAGTTGAAGTCAGCCCTGGGTAACACAGTATCCTTTGCAAGGGTAACACATCATCCTTAGGAAGTGTGTTCAGTCTTTTAGACACCCTTTTCTCTCCCTGACCTGATGCACAGGGCAGAATGGCTTACATTACATTTGCAAGCTGGTGGCCAGCTCACACTTAGCTGTTCCCTTTGATCCTGGCTCCCTCTACCCTTCAGCTCTGGAGGAAGTGTTCTGGTCATCTCCCTATACTGGTGACTCTTGAAGTGATTGTTCTAATCTGTAGGATATTGTGTGTGTGGGGGGGGGTTGTTTGGTTTTATTTTTGTCATTTGTTTTTTTGAGACAGAGTTTCTTTATCTAACAGTCCTGGCTGTCCTGACACTCCCTGGTCTTGAACTCACTAAGATCTGCCCGTCTCTGTCTCCCAAGTGCTGGGATTAAAGGTCTGTGCCACCACCACCTGGCTCTGTAAGAAATTGTATTGTGGTCCAAAGTACAGCCACTTGCATGTGATCGAGACATCCTTGCAGCATATGTCTCCTTCCACCCTAATCCCCTCACAAAAGTGTTCAAGAACTCACAGTTACTGCTGAGCCAGGACCTGCTCCCTAGGGCCAGGGCTGTATAGCAGTTGGTTGGGTGTGGTCAGCAAAGACTTCAGGCTCTATACAGTCTCTATTTGTATTTGAATAGTCTTTGTCATTTGGAACTGTTCTGTTTTCCTCTAGTACATGCAGGTACTCTGTTCTGGTCTCTAGTACATCATTATTCTCACAGCCTGGAAAAAAAAAAAAAAAAAAAAAAAAAAACTCTTCCTTTGGGTGCAGACTTTTATGACCAATTTCTGTGTGAATCATTTCATAATGCTCTCAGGACAGCCTAAGAACTCCAGTCTTCCCAGTGTTTTCTTGCATTACTCAATTCTGCTAAAATACACTGAAACTCCATTTATGATCTATGTCCTTAATATACAGGGGCAAGCTTTTTTTTTAATTTAATTTTATATAACAAAGTCCAATTAAATGAAAACAAACATTTATACACAATATTTGGGAATTTGGGCGTCATTCTTTCCAAACTACTTCCTGCTGGTAAGGGGTGCTGTCATGGGAGATTCGAAGAAGATTCAGAAATCCTGGCTGTAGTCTGTAAGGCTGCTTTGTCCAGCTGTTTTGAATGTAGGATCACCTCATACTCTGTTTCAGGCGGTCTGGTGTGATCAAACCACATTAGTCTGGAAGGAATCCACATCTTTTCATTTTCTGTGGAAACAAAAATAGAAATCCTTTTCCCCAGTAACTTGTTCTTCAACTTAAATTTTGGAGTCAAAGCGTTTTTTTTTTTTTTTTTTTTTAATTTATTATTTTACATGTCGATCCCAGTTCCCTCTCCCTCCCTCCCTCCCTCGCTTCCTCCCCTCCAGCCCTCCCTCCCTCCTTCCCTCCCTTTTGCCCTCTCTACCCTCTCCCATGCACTCTAAACACCCTCCCCTCCCAACCCCCCACCACAATACCATATGTAGGGGAATGCCATCCAGTTGGGGTCATGTAGATCTGACAGGTCCTGTGAAGTAGGGACTAGGGCTTCTCTCCTATCTCTAGAATAAGGCAGTTATCCCTCCATGGGGGATATGTTTGCAAAGTCCTTTTGTGCACCAGGGATACATCCTGGCTCCACTGTCTGAGGTCTCTTAGATTGCTCAGACCTTCTGGCTGAGACCCATATTCAGGGGGGTCCGAGTCAGTCCAGGGGCAAGCTTTTTAAGCTTTTTTTTTTTTTTTTCCAAGACAGGGTTTCTTTTTGTAACAGTCCTGGCTGTCCTGAAATTCACTCTGTAAAGCAGGCTGGCCTTGAACTCACAGAGATCAGCCTGCCTCTGCCTCCTAAGTGCTGAGATTAAAGGTGTATACCACCACCACCCAACAGGCAATATCTTTTTAACTATACAACCTTTGCTTATCGAAAACAGCTATTAAGTGAATGAATGTTAAGGAATATCTATGAATGTAGATATACTTACTCACTGAAGGGATGAATCGTACACCTATTCATATACACTTTTAATTTAGAAGCAGTTATATGAAATTCTAAATTATATTTTGGCTCAGGATGCCATTTTGTTTCTCCTATGAGCCCTCTGAAATAAAAATATAGAGATACAATAAAGAGCCCATCTGTAAAGACAACAGGTATAATGAACTAGCAGGTAAGGTTTCAAAACTTTTCTGGCAGACAAAAAAAGTGTGCAAGTTAACTGTTTGGTCTAGATGTTTAAGTGTGCTCCATGGGAAGTACAAAATTTAGTCTGTTTGGGAAGACTGGGGGAGCCTCTGCTCAGAGTCTGTGTGTGTTGTAGGTGGTGGGGACAGGAACAGGGGCAGAAAACAAGAACTTGCCAACATCCCTAGGACTCAGTGCCCTTTCCTTCACACAGAACAAAGAGGTTATCCTTGGTGTAGGAATCTGCAGGCTCTCCCATGAGAACACTGATACACAGTTTCTAGCATAGATGTGAGGCGTTTATATGCAAAAAAATGTTTCCAGTTGTGACATTTATGAGGAGACAATCTGAACATCCTAATCCTTATTTCTCAATCCAAAATAGCTCTCCTGTCCTGACATGCCATATGTACAGACTTTAATCTACTCTCTCATTGTGGGGAGAAACTTGGGATGAAAACAGTCCTATGTAAACACCACCATGCCTTAGACCAGTGGTTCTCAACCTTCCTAATGCTTCAACCTTTTCATAGAGTTCCAGGTACTGGATGGGACTCAGGTGGGCGATCCTGCCTGAGACAGATAAAGAAGCAGTGTCTCAGTTCCTAAGACCCTTGGGAATATGTATTTTCAGATGGTCTTAGATGACCCCTAGAGAGGTCACAATCCACAGGTTGAGAACTACTGCCTTAGACCCTTTTTAATATGACTGAAGGATCACTAAGAATAATTGAACAAAAGGAAGAATAAAACTAGATGAACTAAGGAGACCAGAAGCAAGTGCTAGTAATAAAGACTGTCCCAGGCTTCTCTCTAGCCTGTGTGCTGGAGGAGCCCATTTGCACAAACGTTTCCTGTTCATTAAAGCCTCTTGCGTTTTGCAAAAAAAAAAAAAAAAAACTGTCCCTAAAAGATACCAGAGGAGATTTAAGAAAGTTGAAAAGGGCTTTTATTAATATCAGAAAATTTAAGAACCAGTTTATTTATAAACAGGATCCTTCAAGACCCAAATAATCAAATATAAAATAGAATGCAGAGTGCACTCTCTCAGGACAGGGAGAGATGCATCACTAATGTAAGAGGCACAGTATCCAAGAAACATGGGTTCTAGGAAGATAAAGCAGAAGGAATCATCATCAGTGGTGATTGCTGAAAATGGCAAACAAAAGGAGGCAGAATGGATCAGTAAACCAGCACAGGTACCAATAACAGAGTTCAGGTGGAGAACGTTTTTGAACTTGGAATTCTATACTCCACTCAACCCAAAAAAATAAAACAAAACAAAAAACTATTTGCAGAGTTTCAAGAGCTGTGTTATTTACTTCTCAACAATCCTCAGGAATTTTCTTAACAGTGTACTTAACAGCACAAGCTAGTAAACCAAGAAAGAGAAACAGGAAATGCTGGCTTCCCCTGAACTCCAGGATAATTGTGTTTCAGGATTCAAAGGCATCCAGTTTAGAAATGATGTCATTTCTAGGCTCCAAACCCACACACTCATCAAGCCATCTGCGGCTCTGTGTAAGCTCACCACAGGCTTCTCAATCTCCTGAACTGACAACATCTGTCTCTTTTCCTGAAACTGCTTCTAGTCCCACGCTGTGTCTGTCCCAGTTAAGGACCCCACAGTTATGTTGTCACCCAAGTCAGGTGTCCCAAAGAAATGGTTTTTTCAGTAGCTACTTCCAGAAGGCCTCTCTAAGTTGAACAAATCCTGGGAACACTTCTCCTTTGCTTCCCCACAACCACCCTCCTCCAGGCCCTCAGCAACCACATCCCATCTGAAAGGGACATCTTACCTGATTTTGCTTCTCTTAAGCCAGACTCTCCCCTTCTCCTCCACACAAACTCAGAGATTTCATTCTGCAGTGAGCTCAGGGGTACAAAGGGACATGATAGATGGTCTTCTGAAGACACAAGCTTGGCACACATTGTGTATCATGTTGACAGGTTTGGAATCGTGATGTAGGCTAATACAATCAACTTGATGAGATCTAGAATCATCTAACAGACATAAGCCTGGGCATCTATGAGAGAGTTTCTAGATTGGGTTAAAAGAGGTGGGAAGACCCACCCTAAATATAGGCAGCACCATTTCATGGGCTGAAGTCCTAGACTGAATAAAATAAAAAATAAAGAGTAAGTGAGCTGGGCACTCCAGTAGGCATTGCTCTCTCCTTGCTGACTTGCAACATCATCAGCTGCTTCATGCACCTGTTACCATGCCTTCCTGGCCAGGATACCTTTGAGCTACTGTATTCTTCACACAATGAGCCCCAAACAAGTCCTTTATTTTTAAAGTTGTTTTTGTCAGGTCTCACAGCAACAACAAAAGTAACTTTTAACCATATGGGACTCTGCCTAGTGGTGTCAGAATAATTAAATACCTTATTAACAGGCCTGAGTGTTCCTGAATTCTGACCCAATTCTTAGGTGTGTCTAGTTCAGTCACTTGCTCATTCCTAGAAAT